TATGCGAATATTTGAAACAAATTGTCCAGTCTCTGGGTTGACCTGAAGTCCAGTAAATTAAATAATGTTCAGACTGAGATAAGAACGTTCTATTGATATCGTCTTAACATATATATACTACTTTTTGAAATATTTTCTTCAAAACCATTTTTTCACTGCGCTTTTTCTTTTTCCCGAACGTACCACGCAGCTTTGGTAATTAATCACAAAATCATTCAAATCACACACACTTAATCAATCACAAAATCATACAAATCACACACACTTAATTAATCACAAAATCATTCAAATCACACACACTTAATCAATCACAAAATCATTCAAATCACACACACTTAATCAATCACAAAATCATTCAAATCACACACACATTATCAATCACAAAATCATTCAAGTCACACACATAATCAATCACAAAATCATTCAAGTCACACACACTTAATTAATCACAAAATCATTCAAGTCACACACTTAATCAATCACAAGATCATTTAAATCACACACATAATCAATCACAAAATCATTTAAATCACACACATAATCAATCACAAAATCATTCAAGTCACACACATAATCAATCAAAATCTTTCAAGTCACACACACTTAATTAATCACAAAATCATTCAAGTCACATACACTTAATCAATCACAAAATCATTCAAATCACACACACATAATCAATCACAAAATCATTCAGATCGTGCCCCGAAGGTCCAGCTGTGTTGCTGTTGAATACAGTTCACAGTTTACGCTTTAGACGCGTTATAAGAGCGACAGTCAATCCATTTATCGAGTTTAAAGAGTCGTAAATAACCTTTTGGGCAGCGCGTGGTGCTAGCTGACTGGCTTACTTCAAGTCAGTACTTCAAAATTAGGGACGCCTGTACACGAATCCTAGGGGTCTTTGACCTGGCCGTTTAGCCCACGAGAGCATAAGATGTCGTCCAGGTTCAGATTCCAGTTTCATTTCGTGTCGCGCAGAATGAAAAGAAAGGGATATGCCAGACAGAGAACAGCAGCAAAAGGTATAAACTTGGCGAATGAAAATTGTGAACAAATTTCCCCAAAGGTTGGTTTTTCAATTAACTTCCAAATCGTGTGAGAAAAACTGTTGGGCAAAAATATGAAGAACAATAAAAGCTTGAATTTCTATCTTGTTGTTGTCCAGCGCTTTTTTTTTTCGTCAATTACTTTTTCCATCCTTTCAGCCATGGGGGCGTTATAATGTGACATTCAAATCCACTATTCATTGATAAAAGAGTAGCCCAACAGTTGACGGTGGGTGGTGTTGAATAGCTGCCTTCCCTCTAGTCTTATACTGCTAAATTAGGGATGGCTAGTGCAAATAGCCCTCGTGTAGCTTTGCACGAAATTCAAAACAAATATTAATTTACTCTAATCCTGCCTAAAAGAATTTCAAATTCCGCGGCTATTGAGGATTCCCGTTTGTTTACACTAACCATATCTGAAGATTTATAGGTGTTTCCTATTTATCTTGTACATTCCGTTTATACAATGTTTGCTGGTAATTTAAAAACTCGTTGCTTTTATTTACGTGCCATTAGTGTACCAGTTGAAACAGAACCCAGAAACCGCTGATTCACACGTTTAATGATTTTTGACAATATAATTACTTGTGCTTCATATATCACACGTGCAATACAACATTATCTCGTCAAAATTTAACGGTTTCCTGCTGTCCAGTCCAGAATCTTAACACATCAACACACTCATAACGCGAGAAAACTTATACAATGTATATATATATATATATATATATATATAGTTAGATTTGAAAGATAAATATCCCTTGAGCTTTGAATTAAAACAGTATCCGTATAACGTTTGATAAGTATTCCGTTTATCATAATTAGTTAACTGGAAACTGAGTACATGTATGGTGTCTGCACCCTATTAAATCACACTGATATTGTCAAGTAACTTGTATTGTTATGTAATACTTTATAACACTATTACATTATACTGATATTGTCAAGTAACTTGTATTGTTATGTAATACTTTATAACACTATTACATTACACTGATATT